AGCACATGAAGAAATGTTCAAAATCCCTAGCTCTAAGAGAGATGCAAATCAAAACAGCTATGAGATATCATCTCACCCCAATCAGAATAGCAAAACTTAACAGAACAAAAAGCAACAAATTCTGGTGAGGTTGTGGAGAAACTGGAACCCTTATTCACTGTTGGTGGGAGTGTAAATTGGTGCAACCACTGTGGAAGGAAGTAAGGCGCTTTCTCAAAAAGTTACAAATAGAGATACCATTTGACCCAGCAATTCCACTACTGGGAATATACCCCAAAGAGACCATAACTGACATCCAAGCAGATATATGCACACCATGTTTATTGTGGCTTTGTTCACAATAGCCAGGAGTTGGAAACAACCCCAGGGCCCAACAACAAACAAATGGTTAGAGAAGCTGTGGTGTATTCACACAATGGAATACTATTGAAAAACAAGGAACTCATGCAGTATTGTTCAAAATGGGTGACTCTGGAGGACATTATGCTGAGTGAAGTATCCCAGTCACAAAAGGACAAATACTGCATGGGGCCACTGTTGTAAAACAGGACTGACCTTGGGGTTGGGGAGAGACTGAGAAAGATGGGTTCAATAATGTATACTGCATTGAAACAGATGAGGGAGAAAACTGTTTAAAAGTGATATGTGATTAGGTATTTTTTTCATGACAGGAGTCTAGAGTGCAGGCTACATGGTGGAGTCGACCTGGGAGAGGGTTTGTAAAACAATGAAAGAATTTTTCTTTTACTTTTCCAAGAGGGTAGTGTACTACTGGGGAGGAGTAGGAGGAGAGAAAAGTGCAACAATAAATGAATGGAAATCCAATGTCTCTGTAAATTTTTACTGAAATTAATAATAAATTTAAATTAAAAAAAGAAAGTGGGACAAAGACTAAGGATGACAGGAGAAGAATCAATACCTTTGAGTTATGGTGCTGGAGAAGAGTATTGAGCATACCATGGACTGCCAAGAGGGCAAATAGGTCCATCCTGGAGCGGGTGAAACCAGGATGCTTCTTAGAGGCAAGGACTTTGAAGCTCTTTCTGATATAATTTGGGAATTTTGCATGGAGGGACCAATCGTTGGAATGGGACATCATGCTTGGAAGGGTGGAGGAACAGCACAAGAGAGAAAAAGGCCCTGGATGAGAGGGATTTATTCAGTGACTAGGGTAATGGGGTAGGTGTATCAGAGATGATTAAATTGCCTCAAGATAGAACAGGGTTCAGAGATGTTGTACATATGGTTACTGTAAGCAGCAGGTAACATGATGGTACATGACAACAAACAGCAACTACATGAGCTGGGCCTTCCATCATCAAGGATTGTGGTCTTCAATATGGATTGAAGCTCAACATCAAGAAAACAAAGATTCTCACCACTGGGCCAATTGGCAGCATCATGATAAAAGGAACTTGCTCAGTACCACAATCAACGCTCTTGGCACCATCAGTCAGGAAAACAAAAGAATAATTTTATTGGGAAACTCTACTGTCAGGTATCTCTCCAGAGTGCTAAAGAGCAACAATATCAGCCTGGAGACTAAGGTGCACTGATCCAGACCGTGGTCTTCACAATTACTTGCTATGCATGAGAGAGCTGGAAAATGACCAAGGATGAGAGAAGGATCAATATTTTTGAGCTGTGGTGCTGGAGAAGAATTTAAATGTTCCATGCATTGCCAAGAGAACAAACATGTTTGTTCTAGAGAGGGTCCTGCAAACATGTGAAATGGAGCTTCAAAATCCTTGCCTTAGAGACAAGGATTTTGAAGCTCCATTTCACATGTTTGCAGGAGTGACCAGTCCTTGGAGAAGAACATCATGTTTGGAAGTGTGGTGGGACAGCACACAAGAGGAAGCCCTAGATGAGATGGATTGACATAGTAACTGGGATAATAACTAGTGTGTCGAGATGGTGAGACTGGCTCAGCATAGGGCAGGGTTCAGAGCTATCATGCATAGGGTCGATGGAACCTAACAACAACAACATGAGCTGGGCCAACTTGTTGTGTGCAGGGAGATCTGCACAGCTGAGATGGGGCATTCTCAAGCAAACATAGGCTGGTCTAGGGGTCAGGGAGGAAACCTGGAAGGCTGAGAGAGGTGTGTGGGCAGAGAGGACATGCTTGCTTGCACAGCTGGTTAGGAGCTGTGAGAGCTATCCTGTGCTGAAGGAAGGAGGGGAGTGTCCACAACCTTCCAGGTTGTGCCCACGTGCTTCCTCACCCTGATCCCAAGTTGTAGCCTCTTCCTGAACAGCCCTGTGGGAAGGTCCTCCAGAGCTTGCCCTGGTCTCACTCTGTCTCTTGTGCAGTCCAAAGCTGTGCTCACAGCTGGCTCCTTCTGAAGGGGAAAGTGGAACATAAAGGGACATGGACCAAACTCCTATTCCTGGCTTGTTCTTCCAGCCACTAGTTTCTGCTTTGGGTTCCTTCGTGCTCATGGAAATCCCCAGAAGTGTCCTGAAGGTTTTTCCAGCAAACATCTGTCCAGTAAGGGATAGTTGGCCTGGCACCCCACACCATAGGTGTTAGACAGAAACATATTTTCTTCCTTTAATAACTTAAATTGCAGGGTGATGCTGTGTACTGTCAGTTCAGAACTGACCCAAGATGACCCTCTGGAGGGTTTTCAGAGGCAATAAAATACATGGGAGAAGAGGTCTCATCTTTCTTCCATGGAGCAGCTGGTAGATTTGAACCTCATGCTTTTAAGTTGGCTGCACAATTCCTTACCACTAAGTAGGAAACGCCACTTAAAAGATCCATATTGGAGTTGAAATAGCAATTTTTTTTTTCTTCTTACACACATGCAGAGAAGAATGGAACATAGAAGATGGGACACTGAGGATGGAAGGAAGGGACAGTGAGGGTGGAAGAAGGGACACAGATGGAAGGAGGAAGGGACATAGGATGGATGAAGGAAGGGATGAGGGAAGAAGAGGAGGAAAAGGGGAGGAAGAGAAGGAAATAGGCAAATGATCTCATCTTTCAAACATTTTCCTGTACCAAGAAGGGACTAGCCCTCAGGCAGGATCTCCTTGACATTCCAGGGTGGACTTGAACCCAGCACCTGGCAGAGGCAGGTGCAGGAGATCAGGAACAGACAGTGAAGGATACCTGGTGGAGATGACTGGCCTGTTCCTCTCCTGACCGTGGTGCTATCTTTTAATTATGATTTTAACAAAAGTTAACAGAAAAGTTGGATTTTCATTCATTGTTGCACATTTTCCTCCGTACTCCCCCCCCCCCCGTTCACTTATTTGAAAAGAACATTCATTGTTGCATAATTGCTTCCCTCCTCCCTCTCCCCTCCCCTAGTCCACTTTTCAACACACCTCTAATTCTGGACTGTTGTCATACAAATAATGCCTAATCATATAGTCCTTTTAAACAGTTCTTTCCTTCATCTGTTCCAATCCAGTGTACATTAATTTGTCCCCTCTTTTCTTAGTTTCCCCCTAACCTCCATGTCAGTCATGTTTTATAACAGTGGTGCTATACAGTAATTGTCCTTTTATGACTGAGATATTTCATCCATGTTGTGTAATATTTTGTGAGTTCCTTGTTTTTCTTTTTTTTTTCCCATGCATGTTAACTAACTTGTTTTATTGACAGATTTTACAGGATGGAACATTTTATTACACTGAAGAGATTTATATGGGACAGCATGGTGGTGATTATATAAGTCCAAGGTAGGAGAGATCCCCTGTTTTGGCAGCCAGTGACATTTCTGGGGAAAGAGACAGTCGGACAGGAAGTGAATACAGGTTGTCTTCAGTCAGTGGGTGGCTCTGGACACGCAACAGCATATCCAAACCGTTCTAGGACGCACAGGACAGATTTCCTGACTCCCCACGAGTTCCTTGTTTTTCAGTGCTCCATAGTATTCCATTGTGTAAATATATGCACACACACACGCACACACACACACACACACACACCGTCATTTTTCTATCCATTCATTTGTTGATGGGCACTTGGGTTGCATCCATCTCTTTGCTACTGTGAATAACAGCAATAAACATGGGTGTGCATATATCACGGTGCTCTCTGGAGAAAGGGGGGCCTCTCTGACTTCCTTTTCAGGAAAGCACCCTGGACATTAACGTTGTCCGCCCACCCTTGCCTTTGCTCTATCAAGTTAGGTTTTATCACCAACCTTCCATGCCTCTGGGGACAAACTTGTAAAGTGAGGACAGCCAGGTGACTATCATACACTGTGCAGGGAACTTCTGTCTCTCCCATCCATTCTGCATTCCTCATGCTCCAGTGTGCAGCTCGAGGAAGAAGTGCTTTCCAACAGTGAGCCAACCATGCAGGGCCTCCACAACCTTAAGAAAGGGCTGTAGAGCTGATGGTTTGCACATCTTTAATTGAAGAGCCCACCATGCCCCCCCCAAGCACCACCATCCATCACACTGCATTGAGCAGTCCTCCTGTGCAATGTTCTTGTTGGCTCTACCTAATCCAAAAGAGATCTCTGCAGATGCACCCTATTAATACAAAACAAACACCCAGATAACCTGGTGTCATACAGTCATCCCTAAACAAGAAGCTACAGGTCAACACTCTTCTGTTTTATAAAGAAATATTTCACCAGAATATTTCATTTATTAAGACGATTTCTGTAAACTCAGAACAATAAAGTTCATATTCCTTGCCTGAGTAGCATTTCAAGTGGAAGTACTTTTAATTCAAGGCACCATTTGATAACAGTCTCTCCTAGGACATCATTGATTCTCCTGGTAAAAAGTCCTTAGAAAATAATATGCAGAGTGACCATGACTGGACGAGGGTGGAAGCAAAAGCCTGTCAACGCTACTGATGTCATTATCATAACTGACCACTTCAGAGTGGGCCCCCTGGTGAGGTCCCACAAGGACAGACAGACATTAAACACTTAAAACAACAAAGAGACAGTGGATGGGGACCACAAAACTCAAATAGGATGTTAACTAGGGAGCACTGGTGTCTCTCGTCCCTGTCCTCTTCCTTCTCATTTCTCCTTCTCACTCGGGTTGTCATTCCCTGGCAGTGTGGACATCAGCTTATTCTGCAAAATAGCTGCCAGCTTCTTGGATGTCTTTTTGAGAAGCGTGCTGCCTGGGTGCGCGCTGCCGACATGCAGGTAGAGGTCCTCCTGAGTGGGTCCAGTGTAGCCGCAGTCCTCACACACATACAGTTTGTCCCGCCGCTGCTTGTAGGCATATTGCTGCTGCACTCCGTGGATCTTCTTGAGGTGGGACTCGAGCGAGCAGCGCTGGGTGAAGGCTTTATTGCAAATCTCACATTTGTAGGGGCGGATGCCTGCAAAAATGAAGGTAGACATATTGGGGATTAATCATAGTCAGGTATGAAGACACTAATACTCATGATGATGCAAGAAAATTGTGTATAGGCCATGTAAACTTGGTTTTTAGTTTAGTTTGTGTTTTCCTGGAAACAGATTCCAAGATAAGTCACTTATTTGGTAATCCCAGCCTTTATAGAGGAAATTAAAACTATATTAAAGCCTGTAACACTGGGCTCCAGCATATCAGAGATTGTGAGGAAGGCACAGCGCATAGTTCTGACCTGTTGTTTGTAGAGTCATAGTTGACTCGAAGGTAAACAATAAAAACAACTGAAGACTATCAAGATCAGCCTTATCAAAACATAGTCTTTCTTGCTTCCACAATGTCACCTCTCCGTGAGATTAAAAGGTCAGATAAAGAAAAGTAATTGTAGACCACTGGGAGGTGTGGAGAGAAGAGGGCAGGCAGGATTTTCAGGAACTTGAACAGTATTTTACAAATTTGCTGGAGCCCAAGAACTACTTGGATAGCTCACTAATATTTTTAATGCACTTGTCATAAGGCTGAGTCTGGGGTGGGCTCAGGAATGAGCATTATAACAGACATCTCTGCTAATACTAAGGATATCCCAATGAACTGGCTTTCAGAGGCATAAAATAGGATTGATTGCAAGATTCCACAGTCAGGTGAGCAGAGACCAAAGCCCATACCCAATTCAGAGCCTCCCACTGTCCAAGTCCATCCCTTCAGTTGGCCTCTATCAAAGCCTCAAAAGTGAACAAAAGGTAGGAGTCCATGGTGAAAAAACATGCTAAGTTTGAAATCTTACAAAGCAGATTCTAAGGAGATGTCACTGACAAATCTTATTGAGCAAGGAAGCATTTGTTGGGACAGGAAACAAGCAAAGTTAAGAAATAACCATCATAAACTCTGGTGGCCTAGGGCAAGAAGCTGAGCTACAATCTTGAAGGCACCAGGTTTGGAACCACCAGCTGTTCCACAGGAGAAAGATGGACGATTTCTTCCTGTGAGATTAACCACCTCTGAAAAAACCACTGGAGAGTCCGCTTTGGTCAGTTCTGACGTGATGGTACAAAACAAGGTCTAATTTAGGCTCTTCATGGAGATATAGTACAACCCAGAAAGAATGGATTGACACAGTGCCTGTAACAGTGGGCTCCAGCGTATCAGAGATTGTGAGGAAGGCACAGGATAAGTTCTGACCTGCTGTTTGTAGAGTCATAGTTGACTCTAAGGTAGACAATAAAAACAACTGAAAACTATTTTTCTTTTCAGCATTCTAAGATAGTTATGCACCAGAGGCATATAATTTATGAAGGCACCAAAACCTCGTAATCAAGACAAATCTTATTGAGCAAGGAAGCATTTGTTGGGACAGGAAACAAGCTAATGGAGAGAGGTTAAAAACAAAAATTAATGCAATAAAATCCAGGATGAACAAAACATAATAATTTTAAATAAAGACAGGAAACTATGCCATGTCAAGCTATATGAGATCTTAAGGTATAAAGGAAAATATATTCTTCTATGTAGAAGGACTACACCCAACTATACCAAAAATAATTGATCTAGGTGAAACTATTTCAGGAAGTAGCACATGATCAAGAACCAAAGATACCTAAGTAGAAGTTTAGGCTGCATCGAAGGCATTGGCCAAAAATATGGATCTAGGTTATTAATGGAATACCAATTGAGTTTTAACAAACAAGTGTAAACCTGGACATGCTCACCAGTCTATGCCAGGAAATTAGGAAAACAGAGACCTGGTCAACTGATAAAAACTGATTAATATTTTTCCCATTCCAAAAAGAGAGATTTGACAGAATGTAGAAATTCTTGAACCACATCATTAAATATCATATAAAAATAAATAAATATGCATGCAAGGAAAATCTTGCTGAAGATTATTTTTAAATGACTGGAACAGTACATTGACAGAGAACTGCTAGAAATTCAAACTGGATTCAGAAGAGCCCATAGAACAAAGGATATCACTGCTGATGGCAGACATATATTGACTGAAAGCAAAAACTACCAGAAAGATGTTTTCTTATATTTTATTGACTTATGCGAAGTCCTTTGTGCATATTATAACAAAATATGGCTTGCTTTGAGAAGAACTAGAATCCCTAAATACTTAATTGTTCATGTAAAACCTATACACAGACTAAGAAACTGTTGTCCAGACAGAACAAGGGAACACTGCATGTTTTAAAATTAGAAATGGTGTGCTTCAGGGTTGTATTCTTTCTCTATAACTACTCAATCTGTATTCTGAGTAAATCATTCCAGAATGTGGACAATATGAAGAAAACTGTGGCATCAAGACTGGAGGAAGATTCATTAACAATCTGATTTGCGCAGATGACATAGCCTTGCTTGCTGAAAGTGAAGATGTAAAATGCCTGCTGTAGAATATCAAAGACTACAGCCGCCAAGATGAATTAATCTCAACAAGAAAATAAAAATCTCTACCACTGGATCAATAGACAACATCATGATACACTGAGAAGAGACTGAAGTTATCATCAATTTCTGTTGGAGACCACAATAGGAAGGACTTGTATGGTGAGATTTAGACGTGTGCCACAATTATGTGAAGATGCCAGACCACTTGCACATGATAAGCAGAAACTCAGCAAACCGAGGAACTGCTAAAATGACCAAGTAAGTATCTCTGCATATGGCGGAGTGATAAACAAATCCCTGAAATTACAGTGCGTGCTTAGGAACTAAAGACCAAAGTTGTTTGTCTTAACTTGCTCTTTGAGAAGGCTAATAAACAAAGGCAATCTGGGATCTTCCTCTTGAGGAGTTGAGTCTCCTGATCGTCTTTTTAAAGATTAAACTGTGTCTGTGTTTTCTTTCAGTTGCCATTTTGCTCTCTTTTTCAAATTACCCTGGCACTAGGAACTGGATCTTGCAAGTCCAAAAGATTTCATCTTACTTAGATCCACAATCATGGACTGCCAAGAAAACAAATAGGTCTGTTGTAAAGAGGGTGAAACCAAGTCTCTCCTTGGAGGCTAGGGTTTAAGCTCCTCCCCTTCCATTCCACCTCAACAAATCAAATATCTTTCATTATTCTGGCTAATACCTACACACACACAACTGCCTATGCACTCATAGGAAGACAACTGCACTGGATCAATGTCTCATATCCTTTGGGTACATGGCCAGGAGAGCCCTGTCCTTGGAGAAGGGTGGAGGGTCAGTGCAGGAGAGGAAGACTCCAGATGAGATGGATTGATACAGTAGTAACTGAGGAAATGGAGTTAGGTGTGTCAGAATCAGTAAAACTGATTCAAGACAGGGCAAGTTTCAGAGCTGCTGTACATAGAATTGCTATGGGTCACAGGTGACTCGACAGCACATAACAACAACAGGCTTTGGCAGAGCTTCCTGAATACAACAGATTAGATGCCCTGATGATCTCCTTCCAAAAATCACAATGTTCCTGTTCTGTGTACCAAGCATCCTTCACCCCATTGTGCATGGGGTCTCTATGAGTTGGGACCTACTATCAGGCAGCTGGCAACAAAAATAATGCCAAAATAAGCCTCAGTCTAGGACCATTCTTGTTTATTTGTTTTTAAAGTATACAGATAAGAAACTAATCCAAAAAAACCCAGAACACTCTCCTCCCTTTCCATTCCACCTCAACAAATCAAATATCTTTCATTATTCCAGCTCATACCTACACACACACAACTGCCTGTGCACTCATAGGAAGACAACTGCACTGGATCAATGTTAAGGGGTCCAGCCTTTGAAGCAGAATGTCTATAGTCTACACATTCTAGAAAAACTGTCATAAGTCAAGAACTGTTTTCATACCCCTAGCACTTGGCACATAAGTGTTCAGTAAAAATTGTTAAGTGAATGAATTAATGAACCCCATTACCTGGGGGGAGGGGAAGTCACATCTTTGCAATTAATTGTCTGCATATTTAAAGGCTACCTAATTCCCCCAAAGGAATATTCTCATGGTAGTTCTCTGCATATTTCTAAACCACCGAGCCAGTATTGCAGAGAAGACCTGGCTCTGTCCTCCACACCAGCTCCCACCACACCTGGTAACAAATCAAGCTACAAACCTGCCTGCTGATAGGACACTATCAGTTAAGCCCTAATTCAGCCTTGACTCATGGCAACCCCATGCAAATTTCATGTCTGTTCCTGCATCATCACTGTGGTGACCATGCCCAGTTGTACATCACATTTGTTTTTATAGGGTTCCCATTGGTTGATTTTGAGAAAAAGATTGTTAAGTTTTTCTTCCTGGTCTGTTTTTGTCTGGAAGCTCCACTGGAACTTGCTCAGCATGTTGTTGTCCTAAAGTGCTTTGAACTGATTATGACTCACAACAACCCTATGCACAACAGAACTAAATGCTGCCTCATCTGGCACCATCCCTTAGTCACTGCTGTGTTTAAGCCCACTCTTACAGTCACTGCGTATCAATCCACCTCCCTGAGGGCCTTCCCCTCTTTCGCTGACCATCTGCTTTTCCAAACATGAGATCCTTCTCCAGGAACTAGATCCTCCTGAAAACCTACCCAAAGTACGTGAGATGAAGACTCATCATTCTTGCTTTTACAGAGGTAACTGCCTATAACACTCCTGGGAAAACAACTGTACTGAATCAATGTCTCGCTGTACTTCTTCCAAGACAGATTTTTTTCTTCTATGGTCCTTTTGGGCTCTATGAGGAGAAATGTGGCATCAGGACTGGTGGAAGATCTATCAACAATCTGCATTATGCAGATGACACAACCCTGCTTGCTGAAACTGAAGAGGACTTGAAATGCTTGCTGCAGAAGGTCAAGAACTGCAGCCTTCAATATGGATTGAGGCTCAATATCAAGAAAACAAAGATTCTAACCACTGGGCCAATTGGCAGAATCAGAATGGATGGTGGAGAGATTGAGATTGTTCACAGCTTTAGTTTGCTTGGCTCCACACTCAACACTCTTGGCACCAGTAGCCAGG